TAGATCTAGAGTTTTCATGGTCGAAATTGACCTTTAAAACCATAAAAAAATCAAAATCAAATACAGGGCAGGGCAACATTAGGCGTTAAAGGGCGGTGAGGGGTTTTTCGTGGCGGCAACAGCTTCCGGTTAGGATGGGAAATGAGTAGAGTGAAGAGAAAAGGGGGACGAGAAAAGAGGAAGAGGACGTAGAGAGAGAGAAGAGGGAGAAGACAAGAAGAGGACGAAGAAGGAGAAGAAGACCGAGAAAGAGAAGAATGAGGACAAGAGAAGGAGGACGAAGAAGTAGAAGAAGATTGCGGCGGCTGGTGCTCCGGGGGTTGGGCTGCCATGGCAGCAGGCTAGCCATGGCTAAGGAAAGGAGAGGCTAGTCGTGGCTAAGCTAGGGAAGGGGAGGATATGAGGGGATGATGATTTTTTTATACATAATTTTTTATTTTATTTTAATTTTTTCTTTTTAAATCTATCATGTTGTGATACGTGGGCAAATAATCACAAGTCAGCAAATTTTACCTCTTCAACCGGTTTCAAGTAACTTGGGGGTGATAAAAATTAATAGGTTGCAAAGTTGGGAGTGATAAGGAATAAACCGAAGTTGGGAATATTATTGGCGGATGGAGCAAAGTTGGGATTAATGGTGACAATTTTTCCTAATTTTTTTGGAATCAATTGGTTGTGAATTGATGACATGGCTCTAAGTAAAGAAATCTCTACTTTGAATTATACATTATAACTTATTTTTCCCAAAAAAAATAATAAAAATAATAATATGAAGGAATTATATTCCGTGGTTTTCTCATTGCTATTCACTGTGTTTATATACACATTACAAGACTTATCTCAAGCCTACAATTAAGCCACTAATTAATCTATAAGTTAGGATAAACTATGTACAGAATATCCTAGAGCAATAAACTAGGTAACTGAATATTTACAAAGTCAACTGGCGATATATTAGGAGTAATATATCTTAACACACCCTCTTAGTCTTAGCGGGAGGAGGACGGACGCTTAGACTATCCCTGAAATCTTCAAAAAGTACACATGGTAGTCCTTTCGTGAATATGTCCGCAATTTGGTGCCTTGAAGGTATATGGAGAACCCGAACCTCACCCCTAGCCACCTTTTCACGAACAAATAGGATGTCCATCTCAATATGCTTGGTACGCTGATGATGTACCGGATTACCCGAAAGGTAAATAGCGCTCACATTGTCACAATAAACCAATGTAGCCTTTTTAATCGGACAAAGTAACTCAAGTAATAAATTTCGAAGCCAACAAGACTCCGAAACAACATTTGCAACACCCCTGTACTCTGCCTCTGCACTAGACTTAGAAAGAGTAGCCTGGCGTTTGGATGACCAAGAGATATAATTATCACCCAAATATACACAATATCCAGAGAAAGATCGTCTCGTATCGGGACACCCACCCCAATCAGCATCTGTATAGGATATAAGTTTAGAAATAGAAGAAGGATAAAGGTGCAAACCATGGTCAAGAGTACCCTGTATGTACCTGATTATCCGCTTAAGAGCAGACATGTGAATATCCTTCGGATCATGCATGTGTAAGCATACCTGTTGGACCGCATATGAGATATCCGGCCTCGTAAAAGTGAGGTATTGTAGAGCCCCTGCAAGGCTACGGTACAATGTGGGGTCGGCAAAAGGAGAACCGGAAGAGCTGTCCTTCGGTTTCACCTCAACGGGTGTAGCCGAGGACTTACATGAAGACATACCGGCTCGCTCAATAATCTCCTCCGCATACCTGCGTTGTGACAAAAATAATCCACCCTTATGTCTTGTCACGGCAATGCCAAGGAAATAATTAAGAGGACCCAAGTCCTTCATAGCAAACTCCGAGCTAAGAAGAGACATAATAGAACAACGCAGAGCATGAGAAGAAGCTGTAAGAATTATGTCATAAACATATAATAATAAATAAGCCGTATTTGACCCCTGCCGATAAATAAATAGAGAATTGTCACTTTTGCTATTAGTAAAACCAATAGAGGCAACAAAATCAGCAAACCTCTTGTACCATGCCCGGGGTGCCTGCTTAAGACCATATAATGACTTTCGCAATAAACAAACATAATCAGGGTGTGTCTTATCACGGAAACCAAGAGGTTGATGCATATAGACTATCTCATTAAGATCACCATGTAGAAAGGCATTCTTAACATCAAGTTGATGAATTGGCCAAGATTTAGACAAAGCCAAGCTAAGAACAGTGCGAATAGTAGCCGGTTTCACCACCGGACTGAAAGTCTCCCCACAATCAATGCCCACCTGTTGTGTTTTCCCATCACCTACAAGACGGGCTTTATGCCTCTCAAAATCACCGTTAGATTTCACTTTATTAGTAAAAATCCACATAAAACGAATAACATTCACATTAGGCGGACGGGGCACCAACTCCCACGTCTTATTTTTAATAAGAGCATTATATTCATCATCCATTGCCATTTTCCAATTCGGGTCATGCAAAGCAGAAATTGGGTTACGAGGAAGAGGTGATTTCGCAACCGTGGACACCATGGTATTGAAATTGTGATATTTCGGGTTGGGCTTGGTGATACCATTTCTACTACGACTGACAATGGTTGGGTGAGGAGTGGGAATTGGATTTGGTTGGGAAGAGGAAGCAGATGGGCTAGCTGGTTGGGTAGGTTACAGCTGGGGCGTGGCTGACTGCGCAGGCCCACGGTCCTGCTGTGGCCTATTATGCCCAACAGCAGCATTGTTGGGAAGAGAGGGTGACAGAACTGGGCTGCTGGGAGAGGCAGGTGGACGCGGCCCAGTCCGTGTAGGTGTAGAGGAGTGTGGGCCAGCCCGGTGAGGAGGAGAAGAGTATGGGCTAGCTGAGGCAGACCCATGTTGGGCCGAAAGAGGAGAAATAGAGTTTGGGCTAGCTGAGGCAAACCCATGTTGGGCCGAAAGAGGAGAAATGGGTTGCTCAGGCACGCCCGTGTGATGAATCACATAAGAGTGTAAACCATCATCCAAAAAATCATATGTATGTGAAGTGGGTGTGTGTAATTTAGCAAAAGGAAAAATCGTTTCATCAAACACAACATGCTGGCTAATTATGATCCTATTAGAAGATAAGTCATAACATTTGTAACCTCTATGATTTGGTGGATACCCCAAGAAAACACATGGTGTGGAACGAGGTTGAAGCTTGTTGATTGTGGTGGACGGAATTAAGGGATAACACAAACACCCAAAAACACGTATATGAGAATAAGATGGTTCCTTTTGATAGAGAACTTGGAGAGGGGATTTGTACTCTAGTAATTTACTCGGTAAGATATTATGAAGGTAAGTTTCCATTTGCAATGCATGGTGCCAAAATGATGGTAGAAGAGATGCATGTGCAAGAAGAGTGCGAATGATATTATTTAACGATCTAATTTTTCTCTCAGCTTTTCCATTTTGTGATGAAGTATGTGGACAAGACAGACGAAAAGACATACCATTAGACTCACACAAAGCCCTAAAAGGTCTGTTATCATATTCCCGCCCGTTATCACATTGGAAATTTTTAATAGGTCGGTCGAATTGTGTGCGCACAAAAGATTGAAAAGCTAAAACCTTATCAAATACATCAGATTTTCTAGCTAAAGGAAAGGTCCATAAAAACTTTGAAAAATCATCCAAAATAAGCATATAATATCGATGACCCGAAGAGCTTAAAATAGGAGAAGACCATAGATCACTATGAACAATATCAAACGGCAAAACAGTATTTGAATTAGAAGAAATAAAAGGCAACTTAATGTGTTTTCCGAGTACACAAGAGTGACAAATATTAGAACTAGAGTAATGAGTACATTCAATATGTTTATTATTACTAAGAGCCTTTAAAATGGAAGACCCCGGATGTCCCAATCGATCATTCCAAAGAGAGGATGCTAAAGCCGTAAAGGTTGATGGAGAGGAGGGTGAAGAGGTGGAAGTGAGTGGGTATAGACCTCCTTGACTATCACATCTCATTATTGGTATCCCCGTCCGATAATCCTTCACAGAAAAACCATAAGGGTCAAACTCAACAGACACACAATTATCAGTTGTGAATTTTCTAACAGATATTAGATTTTTAATGAGTTTAGGTGCATGAAGGACATTAGAAAGGGACAAGGGTGGGTTTGGGGATGGCAAAGTAGTGTGATCATAACCTCGAATTGGAATTGAATGACCACTACCAACAATAATACCATTATGATGATTGCTCAAATTAAAATAAGACGAGAGATTACCATTGGAGGATGTCATGTGCGAAGTAGCACCAGTGTCCATATACCACGAGGGGTAGGTCGGGTTGGCTCAATGTCATAGTGTGCATAGCCGATTCGATATCCGTCGGAGTATAAGACTGTTGGGAAGCCGCATAAGCATGTTGAGGTCGTGGCCCTAGTATGCTGGACTGTTGTTGCTTCATTGGGCCTTGAGGTCTGGCCCAACCTTGAGTTGGGTATGGACAAGGTGGGGGTGTCCAGTGAGGTACCCAACCCCAAGGTGGGTATTGTTGCTGCCATGAAGGAGGAAACGACCACCCCTGTTGTTGATGTTGCTGACCCTGCTGACCCGGACCACCGCGACTGCCACCAGACGTCTGGTCACCGCCAGTACCGGAGTCGCGACCACCCCCTGCACTCTGACCACCGCTGGACTATTTTCGGCCACCACCATTCTTCTTTGGATTTTTGTTCTTGCCACGTACCGAACCCGAATCAGCCCCAAAATCAGTATCTCGAGTAGAACCCGCCACCATTGCCGTAGCGGAGTGAGCAGCCTTTCTAGCCAAACCCGACTCCTCCAAAGTGAGCATCGATCGGGCTTGATAGAATTGAGGGAAGGGAGTGCTTTATCGAATGAGTGTAGCAACACCATGGTAGGACTCCGTGAGACCGGCAACCAATTGAAGCACAAGACGATTGTTATCGACCGGTGCCCCTACATCTTTCAATTGGTCAGAAAGACTCTTGAGCCTTTAACAGTACGCCGAGGCGTTAGGAAAATCCTCCATTTTTGTGTTGGAGAATTCTTGTTCAAGGGTTACGGCTCTAGAGTTTTGATTATCTCGGAAAATATCACGCAATATTTCCAAAGCCTCCATTGCCGTAGAATCCGGTTCAATAATTGTTTGTAAAAGATCCTTCGAAATGGTCGAATATATCCACCCAAGAACCAATGCATCCAATGTCGACCATAGCTCCTTTTCCTCATCGGTTGAAGGGGCAGCGACCTTCTTTTTCGGAACAATAATATGGTTGAGAACCTTGTGAGATCGAGCGTGAATTTTGAAAAGTTCCGCCCAAGTGGAGTATGCAGCATTGTCCAATTCAAGAGTAATTGGAATGTTGCTCTTAATGTTGGAAACAGTAAAAGCCGGGTGGAAAGAGGACTTTTTATCCGACATGCTTACTGTGAAAAACACAGAAGAAGAGAAGAAAGGGGAAGAGAAGAAGAGAAGAAGGGGCGGAAAAGAGCACTAGGGAGCAGCGGAAATTACCCTAAGCGACTGATACCATGAAGGAATTATATTCCGTGGTTTTCTCATTGTTATTCACTGTGTTTATATACACATTACAAGACTTATCTCAAGCCTACAATTAAGCTATAAGTTAGGATAAACTATGTACATAATATCCTAGAGCAATAAACTAGGTAACTGAATATTTACAGTCAACTGACGATATATTAGGAGTAATATATCTTAACAAAAAAAATCAAAAATTTTATATAAGATAAACTAATTATGAATTATTTTGTACTTTAATGTTAATTCCAAACATTTTTCTTTTCTTATTTTATGTAATTGATTCCATATGATACTAACATTATGAAGAAGAGAGAATAATATTATTGCAGATGTCGTGTGACTAATAATAATGAAATTATTCTTCCTCGTCATAAAAAAAGATAAGGTTGAAATAAATGTCTAAAGAGGTAAGAAATAATCACTTTCAAGTGTCCTGAAATGCTTGATTTATGTCCATAAGTGTTCTTATTTTTTTAATTATATAAAAGGTGAATTAAAGAATCATATGAATACAATAACCTATGCAATCACATTAAAAATATATATATATTTATGAATCGGTAGAAATTAGAAAGATTTTTATTTTTATTTTTTGATAATATACATTAATTTAAGTTACTATAAGTAACTTTTTAGTAATAATATCCAATTTTTGTTATTTGTAAAAAGTGTAGTAAATTTTTTACTTTAATATGAATAGTCTAAAATTAAATTTGGGTTAGAATTTTAAATCATCAAATATAGTACTCCATTCGTTTTGAAAAATATAATTCTTCCCACTTTGACAAATTTGGCGGCGGTTTCTTTAACAATTAGGTTAGAGTTTAGGGTTTTAAGGAGGCGGAGATAAGAAAAAAGGCTAGGGTTTCAAGAGGTTCCAACACTATAAATAATACTAAGATATATTTGTGTGTCTACCACTTCAACATAAGTCACCAGCAACCTCCTCCTCCCCTTCCTAACAATCTTTATTTTTTTTAAATTCCCTCCCTTTATAGCAAATTATTTTATTTATTTTTTCTATCAACAAAAATGTTTTTCATTAAGTCATGCATCTAGCTCTTGTACCATCTATCTCACAGATAAATCTCATCATATCCAATTCACTTCTTAGGTACAAATTCTACAATGTGCATTTGTACAGCCGATCAATCTCATGGAAGAAAATCAAAATTAAGGCTAAAGCTTCATAGCCCAACGATATCAAATTAGTAAATTACCTGAATGTAAGTTTAATCTTGATTTTCTCTTAATATATAAACATTGATTATCGAATTTTTTACTTTTATGGTCATATATCAAAATAATCTGATCATTCTCATAATTTTCCCAAAAATAAAATTGATTTTTTTTAATAAAATAACTAAATTTGAAGTTTATAACTTTTTAAAAATAACATTAGTTTTAGATTTTTTTTTTGATAAAATTATTTTGTTGTTTCTTTTCCAAAAAGGAGCAAATTCGCCCAAGAATAAAGGGAGGGAATTGAACTTAGAAATAGACAAGCCTAGATTTAGCCAAAAGTGTGTGATCTAATAATGGTAATTATCTTAGGATATTTAAAATTTCATATGGAAAAAAATGTGATGCTTGTTTATTTGACATTTTTTTGTATAGCCAGTTTTTCAAAGCTTATCATCAAGTTTTCAAATTGGATAACCGGAATTTCAGATAAGGTCATATTATTTTAGAAAAAAATCCGAACAACGTTTAAATCGAAGATCATAAATTTTTAATTAAAATGTTTATTTGTAAACATAAAATCGAATTGAACACCCAATATTTTAATTAGGACAAATCACCCCAATTTTCAAATTGAATCAAACAAGTCGGATACTTTGGCACAACATTACTTCTGATAATTATATTTTGCGAGGTTAAGAACGATGATTATTTTATATGAATAAAAGTTGGTTTATACATGTCCTTCCTCCGTATTCGATTGTTAATTTTGTTGGTTTATGAATGTTGATAATTTTGTGAAAAATTTGACCATATATATGCTCCTTATATTAAGATCTTTATAATTATCTTACACTACGCTTTCTTATGCAATTGTCATGTTCCTAGAACATGGTTGAGTTAATAGTGTTCTTTACCAACAAGGTCAAATGCCCTAATTTGCTCTAGAATGTTCGTGGGTTGCACTTTTAATTGTTACTGGTTTCAAAAGATTGATAACCTTATTAATGTAACAAAACATACCGGTGGAAAAAACGCCATTACCAACTGGCAAAAAGTGACTTTTTGCTATTGACATGTGGAGATGTTATTATGATAAGCATGATGGGGATTTTATGGATTCAACTTTTGTTTTGATTTTTACAATTAAGAGTTTATGACTAAAATGTTGTTTCAATTCGAAAAAAACAATCTCTAAGAGTTATGAGAAGACTCAAAAAGGCATTGTTTTTAAGGCAAAATTATTAAGAGATGATGAGGACGCGCGACTAGCAACAAGAGGGCCCCTATCATCATTAGACATGATGATATACGAAAAATCTTGTACATATCAACGGTGTTACAAGCAAACGACTTGGGGCAATGGGTGATCTTTGAAAGTTTTGGCACCAACTGACAATCTTTTAACATTGTTGGGATTTCTAGCATGAAGTAGTTTTGCATACTTGTATTTTTATACCATTGATGGAAGTTTTGTAATAGTGAATAATAGTTAGCAAAAATGGTATATTGTGGAATTGGATTAACATATCATTAATTAATTATTATTTTTTATAAATCGGCTTTGGGGTTGTGTATACAAAATCACGTACTACATCCTTTATTGTAGTTGATACATTTTGACTTTAATTTATCACTATTAACATACATCTCCTTAATCATGTTTTGTGATTTGTATGTAATGAAAAATAGTCATATGAGTCTTGTTAGATATGTCACCATATATCTTCAAAATATTAATTTTCTTTATAAGTTTTGCTTATCGGTAATTAAAAATATTAAGGGTTGAATTTGTACATTGGCAAGCGTGACTAAAGACACATGTCAACTAAAAAAAAATGCTTGTTTGTTTTCACTCTAAAAGGCAAAAGTGAAAAAGTAATAATGTATGAAATTAAGTCCCATCAATTTGGCACAAAATTTTTACTAGTATATTCTTTTTTTTTTTTAATACCAAAAAGTAAATGTTAGGTGTATTATGTAATGTAAAATGTTGTTAGATTAGTGTCATTGTATTTAATCAAAATATTGAGGGAGCATTTGGTTGGAGATTTTCCTTAAAAGGCAAGGGGACCAATTGCCTTTATTTCTTTTGATATTGTTTGTTAGCTCCTTTTTCAATACTCAATCCCCTTAATTGTTGTACCTTCTCAATTCCCCCAAATTCTTCCAAATTGATTCTCTATCATACTAGGTATGTCAATTTTCTATCCTTAGCCACCACCCTACCCCCACCTTCCTACCCAACTACACTTCCCCAACCACTAGAACACCAAGCCACCTCGTCGCCTTCCCTTGTCGCGCTTCCCCCACACCTGTTACCCCCCCTTACCTCGAACCACCGGAAAAGCTACCCTTCCCACCCCCAAACCCTATAATCCTTCTCCCCTCCCTGCGAAAATATTGTCCACCCTTCCCCGCAAATGTTGCTCCCGAGCTCGCCCTCACCACACCCTCGAAACCATAGCCACTAATTTAAGTTATCAAGTAAGTCCAAGGCTTTCAATAATGACAAGTATAATTTTCATTTTAAAAATGGTTAACCTAACAAACTAATGGACTAATATTTACTAAGGAATTTGTTATATACATCCGAGTGCACTGTACGCCCAACTAATCCAATGTGAGTTTTTGCTCTTCATTTGATGATTAAATGAAAAACAATCATCAAAATGAGAACAAAATACTCATGAATGTACGGTGCACCCAAGTGTATATAATAATCTCTCTATTTACTACTTTCTCTGTTTCTTTTCAATGTTTATATTTTGGCTTTAGAGGTCAACATTCAAAAACATGACTTTAGTATTATAAAGATTAAAAGCATATGAGCATGTAGGATGTTAATTGTTGGAATCATCTTACAATAGATTAAACTAGTGTGTGGCCCGGGCGATGCTCCGGGTTGTTACTTTGAATACTTGTAATTGAATAGATATATTCATTCTTTATTATTTATTTATTCATTATTTGTTTATTTTTAATAGTTTTGCATTAAATCTTTGAATAAATTATTTATTAAACAACTATTGACTATTTATATAAACATATTCTTTGTATAAAATTTATAATGTAATGAAAATAAAAACATATTTATTATTATCAAAATAATAGAATCGGTTTTTTTTTTTTGTAAGAATTGCAGTTCTTAATGGTTCAGATCTCCAATCCATATATATATATGTATATATATATATATATATATATATATATATATATATATATATATATATATATATATATAAAGCATGATTATTTTGTGTAGATGAGATGGTAAGTCATCTAATGCGTATCTTTGCGGTTGTGAGTTCAAATCTCATGATAGACATTTTTCAAATATGAATATGATGACGTGGTGGGTGCCACGTGGCACATAAACATTTTTTGGAACGCTTTTTAATATTTAAGTATAGATATAGATTATCAAGTATCAATAATTTGTTTTTTTATAGAATTTTACTCAAATGAGAATATATTCGTGGTCAAATATGTGCATTAGAGACCTTAAAAATCAAAATCAAAGTGGACCATTGAAAGTGTACAAGTTATATACCTTTAAGTTCCATGTGACATAAACTTTTACTTATAATACAAATGATTTTTTTCCTACTCCATCCCGTATTAAAGGTGGGCATGGGCTGTGCCGGCACGAGGGCGGTACGACGGCCCAAGTGTGGGTCGTGCCGTGAACAAAC